TGTGTTGTTTACAGAAGGAACCTGAACCTCCCCTCTGACTGCGTGCTGTTCATATCCAGTATTTAATACCCTTTCTTCAGGATGATATCTATTCTAAATTCAAAGTGACTCGTTTCAGGAGTTCGCTTGGACTGTGGATTACTGTATCAGCCATTCACAGCTGGAGCTCAGGAGCCAAATGTAATTATAAGCCCTGGCAAAAAATAGATATCTGAGTCCAAAATATGCTATGATTTGACACAATTTGCATAAACCAGGATTTCAAATCTGTCATTAAGGACAAGAATTGGGGGCACTGCAAGCTGCCAAGAAACAACCTGTTTGTAAAGCATCTAGATTGACTACATAGTAATTACTTTAAGATGTGTCTCCTTCATCAATCATTTGCTGGCAAGATTTTAAATGTCCTCATCTCATGTCTTGCACAGCATCTTTTTGAAAAGATCATTTATAGAATTTCATTTCAGAGCATATATTCCCCGGTACTCCAGCTGACAATGTATGGCTGATGTAGCTGACACAGTCCACATGCAGAATCTTACAGTGAAGTTGAACCCAATGAAAAATGAGAGAAAATAATCCTTCTACGAATTGAGATTAGTTTATGTAATTTTTTTCAGAACTGAAACTGACTGCAAAGCATCTGTCCTTTTTTCTTACATCTCTGTTCTGTTTACATCCATGATCTGTTCAACAGCGGTAGAAAAATTCCCTTCTCAATTAGGACTTCCTATTCTGTTGCTGTCACGCTGTACTGCAAGTCAGCAGTGGATTCTCTGTTGGCCAAACGAAAAAGGGAAATCATTAAAGGCACAGAAATAGCATATACCAGTAACATAAGGAACATGAGATGGTTTATGTGGCACAGTGGATGGGCCTATCCTCTCCTTCAGAAAAGCATTTGTATATTCAACATTCAACACCAGTTTAACTCCAAGTGGCTTTCACTGGAAAGACAGGCAAAGCTAAAACATGGGCTAAAATGCTCCTCCTACCTTCCCTATATTCTCACACTACAAGGATTAAGCCTGTAACTTTCAGCTATGGAAAACACACAGGGCTGGTTTCAGCCAGTACTGACTGAACAGTTGCTAGTCAAGAACTCTGAGATGTAATGCAAGAGATATGTAGGAAGAGATAAAATTAGTACCATGCACGTATTCTCCCGGCAACACTCTGGATTTACTTCCAGGTTTTTCGGGCTTACAGAGAAGACAAAACCTACATGATGAAATTCCTGTGCAGAAAGCTTGCCTCGATCCACCTACGCCTGTGTTAGGAAGACTTCTCTTGTCTCTAAAACATCACATACATATTTTCTTTGCAATGTAGTAGCTAAATTTTTTTCAACAGTATAAAAACCATCACCTGAGAACAGACCTCAAGTTCAGAAGAATCCACAGCTTCCATTCTTGCATCTAAGCATCCTTGTAATTTCAGCTGTGTAATTCAACTCCTAGAAGATGCCATGCATTTAAAAAAATCCAAATCCTGTTTCTCAAGGAAGTCTTACAGTTGTTTTTTCCCCTCAAATCCAGTAAGGAAAAAACCCTATCATACTAACGCAGACAGAAGTACCAGCAGAGGTTGAATCCAGTCTCTGTGGAGACTGTACTAGGAACGTTAACGGCAGTTATTTGATTATTCTGCAATATCATCAACAGAAGTTGACAGATTATCCAACCACATTCCTCTTTTAATAAGAGCTACAACACTGTTCCGTAGAACGGTAAAAAAAACTAAACCCAACTGAAACCTGTTATTAAATTTAGACAAAGTCAGAAACAAAAAGTACTTCATCTTCTCATTTTAAACCAAAGGCAAATAAACACCCATCTCACATCAGTGGAGGCTTTGTCAATATTTTCCAAAGCAGTAAGTAAACAGAATTCTGTGCCTGCTGTAAATATGCCAGAATATTTGTCATGAACATATAACCAGCAGCATCCTTGTTGTAACAAAGATGTACTGCCTGAGAAAGACAGGGACAATTCAGCCACCTGCCCCTAAACTGAAGTTTTTTCAAGCACATCAGTTGAGCTCAAGGCTCTCTGCCTCTCTGGTAGTACGCCAGATCATTTTCAAGATAAATATTTAACAGAAATAAATGCTTTGAATATGCATAGAACTTTTCAGATTTCAACTTACTCTGGATCTATAGATGTGAGAATTTGGGATGAAAAAGCCAAAGACGTGAATTTGAAAGATGGTGGCTCGCTTGTACTAAGGCAGGAATAAATATTCCAATGACACGTTCAGCCCAACTCCAGTTTAAGTTAAAAAAAAACAAGTGAAAAATTCATCCTGCTTGTGTGTCCCCCCAGTCTGTTCTTCCCAAGGTCGCAGAAAGCCCCTCCAGCCATCAAATAAAGAAGTCACTGCAATCTTGCCTCTCTCCTGAATAACGTGGTCATGCTCTGCGAGCACAGCTGCTAAACGCAAAACTTGTCTGAGTGCAGGTCTGTGCGACCGTACCTGCCTCAGCTCGCATCAGAAAGAGATTTGGGCAGTAGGCCTCTATTGAAATGGTTTGTCTTCGCCTGAGCATTGATGCCACTCCCCACAGAGATTCAAGGAAGTTACTTTAGGTTACTAACGCCAGTGTTAATGCAGCCTTTGCACTGCCTCAGCACAGTACTCCAACAATGCTACTTCAAGCTGACGTTTTTCTCCTCGGTTTGTCAGAGATGCGGGGTGTAGACGGTGTTACCATGACAATTAGCTCAGACTTGGTGACAGAGCTAATTGCGTAAATATACCACACAGATCTTGAAGCTGCACACAGACCAGCACCTGAGTCACAGTCTGAATATGAAATCAGTTGGACTTTTTCCAGCATCTTGATTTCTTGGAAACGTTGCCACATTCAGGCCAATAATCTATAGCAATACAAACTTCTATACGCCAAGCCAATTCCCAGAAATCCCCTTCGCTCAGTGCAAGGGACCAAAACAATCATCTGTTACGGAGTTTTCAAACAGTAAGTTTTAATTGCCTTATTAGAAAAATAAGCACTGAAATATATATAAATGTGATTACATTAAAGTAATTCTGTAGTCTAACATACTAGAAACCAAAGCCCAGTCATATTTTTAATGATACAGAGCAGCAAGGTTTTGGCTTTAGAAATTTTCCATCGAAAATACCGAAGTATGCAGTATCTTTTAGGAAACCACAGTAAAGACAAGACAAGTCTCCACGTTGCAATAAAAACTAAGTAGATCAATTTATTCTGTATACTATACAATGTGTAGGTTTGTAAAGAACAATCGACATTTTTATCACCTTAACATCCTGACTGGGTGTAAATATGTCCAACAAAAAGTACTCCTGTGGCCTTTACACAAACACTGTCCTACTACATCAAGAACAATGAGAGGGAAGCCTTCGGTGCTACAGATTTGGGGACATACCTGTGAAGTTGTAATTAATCCACTTAACTATCTCGAATAAAATGTTGGTGCTATCTGCTATTATAAGCCTACATGAGTACTACTCTAATAACTAAACACTGTCTATCTTTAAAGGCAAGATATGAAAGGGACTGCCAGTCTACAGTGTGGACAGGTTTTCTTTGAAAAAGGTAATTATCAAATGGTAAAACTCATATAATACATTATGTACATAATTTGGATAGCTGAGTTATCTTGCTGGAGTAAGCTGAAAGTAAGCATCGATTTGCAGTCACGTTTGATTCACTATTAAGTGACTATTGGACTTCAGTTTTATACAGTGTATAGAATCAAAATAGCTGTGCCTGCTGCTGAGGTCTGTCAGATGTGAAGGCTCATAATCAGTCATTGACCTAGTTATTGTTACAGTACTTCAAATATACACATGGATATTATTATATTCATAGCTGAATTAGCAGTAA